TACATGCTGTCGTATGAAATTATAACATTAAAATCTGAGCCTCAGTTACTGTGGTGCATTTTAACCAGAATGTGGAAGTTTCACCTTCAAGGGTTTTTCTGTTTGCTTTCTGCTCAGTAAACTGGAATACATCTTAGCTCAGTGGAAAGAGACACAAAGCAACCTTTGTCAGTCCTTTACCATAGGAAAAATATTTCAGTAGACTTTTTTTTTAAATGTACCAAAAGACACTTTCCTGTTTTGATCAAATATAAACTAAAAAACAAGTCCAATCCTATATTTATTAAGTATCTTAATGAAGAAATGTTCATGCATCAATGTTTAAAGTATTTGTTTCATTTGTGGAAAAGAAAGGAATTGAATTGTACCTTAACAGCAAAATCAACCAGATTTTAAACAAAAGATATAAAAAAATGTTTTTGTGGAAAAGAAATTAGGACACCCTATCCCATTTAACTGAAATAAATCAGCTCCTTGTAGTTATATAGTTATAGCACATACTGATCTCACTGCTCACTTTCAGCTGTGAGATATTTGAGGCATTTCTTCCATCTAGAGCTTGTTATGAGTTACCACACATCAACTCAATTAGACTGAGGGCTGGACTTTGACAACACCCAAGACTTTAGTTGCAGTTTCTTGATTTCTCTTAATTCTCAACCAGACCTTCTGGGTCATTGTCGTGTTACATTGTTTTTTCTTTGTTATTCTCACCTTCCAATAAACAGTAACTGGTGAGCTGACCAGGTTCTGCAGCAGTAAACTATCCCCAAACCATGACATTTCCAACTCCATGCTTCACAATTGACATAAATTCTAGAGTTTATGCCAAATATATCCTCTGTTCTGGTGTCCAAATATTTTTTAATCAATCCAGAAAAAATGCTATTTGAAAACACCTGGTCATTATCTGCATTCTCACAGGTAAAGTTGAATCTAGCCTTTATATGTTTTTAGTGAGCGAAGGTTTTCTCCACACATATCTATCTCCTTTTATAGTTGTGCAGCAAGGCACTGCACATGGCGACATCGGAAACAATGTTGTATGTAGAGAGTGCCCCCTTGTGGATGACAAATGACACACATGTTGAGATTAAAAACAAAAATCAATGACTAAAAGTCAAAATAACGTCAGTACTATCTACGTTTATTATATAAATATAACAACAAAAATGTTTTGTTCTGTTTGTTTCAGTATGATGCCACTCATAATGTATAAAGCACAAGGCAAAAAAGTAGCCAACAAGCAGCAAATTTCAATCTCACTTCAAGTCCATTGAAAAACGTTTTGGAAAATCTGTTACCACGGCTACGACGAAGCATTACATGTAAACAGAAAATGGGTAAAGTAAGTTTCATGGTCTACTTGATATAATGTGGTTATCTGACTCCAATAAATAATGTATTTGAGCAGAAGGTCACTGGATCAAAGATTGCATAAATCATATTCCAAAAGAGTCTTCACAAGAATTAGAACCACAATTAATAAATATAAAGTCTTTTGAAAATAATCTCTGTGGTTTTTTCTTTCTTTTTAGAAATGCTTAACTATTAAGAGATATAAATGAAATGGTTTGCTCACAGGGATGTTGGAGGCAAAATAGCAAGGAAGGGAAAAAATGATGAAAAAACTCAATCTTTGATTGAGATTGGAAAATATTCAAAACCTTTTACTAAGCTGACTAATAATCTTGGTACTTTCCTCATGTTGACATTTCATCCTAAGATTAAAATGGTAGCATTTGTGCTACAAAAAAAAAAAAAAAATCTAAAAGGGGTTGCAGGTGTATACCTTTAAGATAAGCAAAGTCTAACACATGCTATGTAGTACTTTGCCAGAATTAGTTTGTAAGTTGAAATGTCATTCCTAACAAACGTCTACGAAGGTTTGGAGGCAACACTTGACACCTACACCTAATCTGATAGACTGTTGTTCAGCCTCCAGGGGTAAAGTTCAGCTTAAACTCATCTTACATATTGACATGAGATGGGCCGCAGAGCGGAGTCTGTTTCTCCTTAAGATCCGCGGTCTCTCAAGTGACTTTGTTGTTGAATTTTGAGACACATATTAAAATTAAACAGGCACATCCCTGAGGAGCTAAAACATCTGGAGCTGTCATGCAAAATCCATGAGTCCCCAGCAGCATTAGAGTTTCATGTTCAACTGTCTGAATGTGTTTGATTGACAGCCGGCCCTTGGTGGCGTGAGGTCTTGAGAAGGGTAAAGTGGTCAGACAGTCTGATTTAAAGCCACTGATATGTCACATGGTCAGGTCAGACTGAAAAAGAAAACACATCTTGAGAAATCTATCTACCTTCCTATTTACTGCCGAAAAACCTCCTACTGACTATTACTTATTTATGCTGTTATCCTCCTGCTCTGAGTAATTTGTGTCATTTTTTTTAAAAGTACCAGGTCGAAAGAAATCTCAATAAAATTTGTTTGTGCTCTAAATTTAGGTTTACATATAGTTATATCATACTGTTCTTGCAGTGTAAAGAGAAAAACGGACTGAGCAGCACTATATTTTGTCGTTTTTACTCCATAATCCTCCCAATGGGACAATCTATTGCAGTTGTACAATAACATTTCAAGTACTTTCTGACAAATCCTCTTGAGGTTGATCGTCTTATTAATTCACATGCATTAGTCCAGGAAATTCTGATGTTATCTAAATTTTCTGAGATGTACACACAAAAAAAAAAGAAAAAAAGAAAAGAAAAACCCTCAGAGGATTTCACAGTGAAGCGGCTGTTGACATCACTGGGACATTTTTAGCATTTTAACTCTATTTGCATATATTCCTAATCTTTCTGGGGAAGCCTTGTGGTTTAGTGGATCCAAAGGCAGAACCTCGGAGACCGAAGAGCTTAGATGAAGCATTTAAAATAAGAAAATGAGAGGTAAGTCCAGTGATTTGGGTACAGGTTGAAAGAGCATGTAGGGGAAACTGAAATGGAGGTGAAAAAGATAGCGGGAAACAAAAAAAAGAGTGTTAAATCGGTTCATTAAACTTCTCAGGTAGGAACTTTTTTTTTCCTAGGCAATATTTTAAGGCTCATGTTTTCATCCAGATGAAAAAGAAATATGATTTTGTAAGAGTGAGCAGACAGGGGAACTTAAACGGCTCTGGATAGATGAGTCAGTTGTCTCAAAGGACAGTCAGGGGTCAAGTAGGCATACCAACACACAAAGAGAGGAAGAACACAGGAAGATGACCCTAAAAAGAAAACTGAACGTCCAAACTCGTATCTTGCGCCGCAGGCTGTTTTAACAGGAGTTTATTGTCCTCATTAGATGATTTGGTCCTACTCACATGTGTCCTAATGCAATCCATTAGAAGTATGAATAATTTGGGGCTTATCTGTATTGTCACTTCTATGCATTGCCATACTGAAGATACTGCCACACAGGGTCATCGACAATTTTGGTTTTTGCAGAGAGAACCATTTTTACATTGTAACTAAGGTTTTTTGACAGTGTGAAATGCCTTGTTGCTGAAAGGTGCTGTAATGATTGATTGATTTTCAGTTTAATAGCATTCCCTCGTCTCTGTGGCCTTAGACTCCTAATTACACGGTATGCTTTCACATTGATTTAATAAGGTACTGTACCTTTGCAGAAGTGATATTTTAGTATTATAATGCATTTTCTTTTCAAACAAAGGTCACAAGACAGCTGGAGCCACGCTGATTGAGGGAAATCTAATTAATTATCCATTTGCATTGCAGATTAAGCGGTTGTGGAGAATCATCCAACTGAAAGGCAATGAGGAAAAGTAAATTGTTACAGGAGAAGAGAAAGGTAAATTAAAATAAAAGTCAATGCTGTATGAAGAGTGTGGATATCTGCGAAGTAAAGTTATTATTTGCTCCAATGGCGGAGTAATGGTAGTTGATCTAGCTCCGTTTTTCAAGAATAAGGGATACAATCATTGTCAGGGAGTGATTGTAAGAGTATGAAACATCATTGTTCCCCCTAGTGTGGCCAAACTTTAAATTAATCTTTGTGCACTGCAGAGCTGGAGGAAAAGATCAACACTGCATGCTCTGGAATACATTCATGTCTTTCAAACAAAGCTCCCCTGTAAGAATGGACTGTAAATAGGAGACTCTTTGCTGCACATCTGACATTGTACAGGACGTTGCAACAATGATGCCAAACGTCACTGCAGAAAACAGCAGTAAGAGTTGTTTCAACACGGACAGATATGTTCCTATAAACTTTTTCCCTACCTGGAAATGAATATGATCAAGTGGAAAGAACATTAACTGGAAAGAGAAAGAGAAGGAGAAAGAGCAAGACAGAGGAATAATTGGGACTCATCTAAAACTTGGTGCAGTTGAAATGGTGAAGCAGAGGAAACAGGTCTCTATCACATTGGCAAAATAAGAAGGTAAAGTATTACCATTAACAGATTAGATTACTTAATATTCTTTGTCTAATAATAAAACACATGGAAGTAGGCAATTATTAGGTCAATAGAAAAGCAATAATTTCCTTTTTTTTATATAAAAAAAATTATAGCCACAGGCATGAACTGGTTCCTGCCCCCTAAAGAGAATATGTATGAAAATGTTTGCAATCAGTACATATTGGACCGCATTTGGGCGCCCAAACAAAACAAGCTCTTAATTTATTTGCATATTGCACAATAATCACATATGATAAATCTGCTCTTATTGCAATAAGAAATTAACAATCATGTGTGCTTACCTTTAAAACCCTGCCTCGTTTTTTTTTTTTTTTTTGAAGCTAGCTTTCAACAAAAAAAGCTAGTTTAGGATACCTGTCATCTGATTGACAAGTTTCTAAGTGTATGGAAAAAGAAAAGTGTAGCTGTCATACAGCCCCTTCAAGGACTGTATTGTAGTCCACTTTTATGTGGATTTGCTGATCTGAATTGACATGACGCCACCTGCCAATCATTCTAGGGCGTTTGTCAGCAACTGACCAATCAGCGGTCGCAATTTGTCCCGAAGTACACGCCCCTAATTTCCGTAAACACTCCCGTTCATTATTGCTAACGCTATGGCTAACCCGCTGCGGTCATAGAGATTTTCGGGAAAATAAAAGGAAATCATGGTCCAACTATGTCAGTGGGTAACATGTAACTCCTACAACTGTTATCCAGAGCGCTTAGAGGGCAGAATACAATTTATTACATTTTCAAAACCCAAAGAGAGTGTAGAATAAAGCAAGAAATGGATCAAAGCCTGCAGCCCACCTCCTATCCAGTTGAATGAAACTGTGAACACAACTACCACCTGCTCGTCTGTGTCAAGGTAACTGGTTACAAACATCATTTGTTGTCACAATGACACTGCATGACAGTCAAATCAAAGATCAATAAGTAAATGTAGTTACTCTTGATTTTTTTTGTGTGTGTAAATTCCAATGGTAGCGTCCTACACAGCTTTCACACTCATCCAAAGAGACTCTGTGCCCCTCATTTTTCCTCTGACTGCGAAAGACTTGGGCTTTAAGTTGATTTCTCCGTTGTACCCGCAAATAACCTTATAGACCTGATGTAGGACTCGGATAATTTTCTTGGCTGTCGTCTTTACCTCAGTATTGGCTGATAATGTAAAAATGAGTCAGATGTATTGAGTTTCACTACCTCTGCCATTATGGCCACTGTTTGTTTGTCTGAGGTTTGCTCTACTTCCGCATGGGGATGGAGCCGGCGTCATGTGGGCAGACTTTCCAGGATGAGTTGTTCATTCAGTATTTGTTTTTCTTCTATGGACTATTTATATTGGCCAAGATAATGAAACAATTTAACAGAATTTCAAGAATAATGGTAAGAAACAAGAGTTGCAATTTTGCCATATTTCTAGACCGAAATAATCGTGCTCTGTGTGTTTCTGGAAGATCCGAAAAGATCTTGATTGAGTATGTTTTTTTTTTTTTTTTTTTTTTCCCCCCCTGACTAAATTGGGATTGCACAAGAGGTTAGAAACAACCATATTTGGACACTGTAATGCAGCCGGGATGTCCTCTTTGTTTGATGGAGGGAAGTCACTAAGCTTTAAATCTGCCTGAAGTGAAACTTCAGAAAACAAATCCTGGTTAGGATTTTGCTGCTGCTTTCTGGACCAGCAAGGATAAGCTGCATTGCCTAATTTATCTAAGTGAAAAGAAACCTCAAAAATCTAGAACTTAAAACCATTGTGTATAGTCTTATTTTGCTTAATTAAGCAGATTTTTTTGTTTTACTGCTAAACTGCTGTGGTTTTTAAAATGGAAAGCCATGTGATGGAAAAAAACGCTGACCTGTGACCTGCTGTCATCCCTGACTCTTCGTCTCCTCTCTAACTACTGTATCAGCAGCACAGCGGGACATTGGTCGTGATTATGCATCAGTCGCTGAGGGATGTCCATGGTTATGCAATCGCAGTCCAGTGGTGCTCAGCATCTCAGAGGAAAGAACCTGAGCGCTGTTTATCCCTGGAGTGACCCTAAGAGTAAGGAGAACCTTCTACCTCACTGTGTGAAAACTTATAACACAGGATATTAATATTGGATTTTATATTTTTAGGTACTCAAATTTTGTATTCATCATTTCAAATATTCAAAGTTTTACAGTTTTACAAATCAACTTAACCATGCCTGAAAATGAAAACATTAATGTGTAAATTCTCTCAGATATTATATATTGAATTTATTTTACCTATTTCAACCTCTTCAGAGTAATAAAACATTCAGCAGGCGTCCAAGATTAAATAAGGTCATTATTTAATCCAGCCGTCCCGAGAGCAGCAGACAAACAGATTAAGCCCTGGTTTGTTTTGATGTTTGATTTTTAGCTCAATTTTGTCATAGAACAATAATATTATCAATGTACAACAAGATTACAAGGTTTTTGATCATGTACAGATGAAAGATATTTATAGTCAGCTCATCATTCACTGTCGAGATCTCATTTTCAGCAAGCTGTGCCTGCGAATTCACAGACACATCAGCTCATATCTGGGCTGAATATCTAACCGTCAAGGAGCTTCTGCACCAGGGTGGCTGGGCTGTGCAGAGTACAGAGGGCCAGGCAAATTTTCCTGCAGTTCTTCTGGAGGGACACCTAATCACAAGTGACAGAGAGGCAAAACTGGAAATTTGAAGGTAATTCATGTTGAAGTCAGGAACATTTCCAAGTCTTTCTTCCCCAGACAAAAAAAAAAATGATTGTGACATGATGCTGTTGATTTTAGGCTTTCACATACACCTTAAAGCTGCAGTATGCAACTTTTACATATACCGGTACATATTTGTTGAAACTGTCTCTGTGTCATGCTAGTCTGGTATGAGATAGATAATCTTTGAAAAAAATCAAGCACTAATCTCAGTGCTAACTGGAAACAACCAATCATAGCCAGCGCTGTAAATCATGCCTGTGTACACCGCTCCTACCCCCCTCACTCATACAACTTTAGAGCCTGTTGTGAATGCTAAGTGTAGTTAGCATGGCCAACAAAGATGTGGATGAACTGTTTTCCTGCAATGGTAAGTTGTTTCTCTGCCATCACCACATTGAGCAGGACGTACCCGAGGATGATTGACAGCTCTAACGCCTTCCTCCTGGCTCTGATTGTCTGTTTTTGCCATTTCTCCAGATGGCAATAGTAGCTCAGGGAGGAGGTGAAGGAGCTTGATTTTTCTTTTCCATATATAATCTGTGTCATAATTTACTGTCACCATATTTGGACAGTTTTAAAAAATGTGTAAAACCCCCCCCCCCCCAAAAAAAAAAAAAAATTTTTTTTTTAAAAATTCAAAAACACACCATAAAAAATTATTACATAATATTTTTAAAAA